ATTAAGCTAATATCACGTGACGCTAAGCGCTCTTTAATTAGGAGAATTTCATAAATTTCAGTAAATGTATGCTTAAAAGTTGGTAGTGAATAATGAATACTAACCGTCCACTTGCATGACTCTTTTGAAAACTTGGCTAGAAACTGCTAATCTAGTTTGCTTGGCCTAACCAATACTTATGTATCTGCACGTGCTTTCATCCTAATAGTTTTGCTGCTCTAAATCAGCCGTCTTTAATCGGAATGACAAAAAACTAAAAACTGTCCACTTTTACTCTTAGGTGAAGCTGTAGCAAAAGTTTTAAACCGATAGCTCAATTGACTTTTTACGTAGGCGTAAGCAAAACTTTTGGTCAAAATTGAACGGTTTTTTGATTAACTTTGCAAATGTGGCTTCTATTTAAACCAAATGTGACACCTAGGTTGTAAAGATCTATGAGTGTATCAGATTTGAAAAGTCCACAAAAGTTAAGTATGTTTTTCTACAAATAAAGTTTCCGTACTTTTGGTGCGAAGAGAAAAAATTGGAAGAACTTCAATAAAGGTTGTATATTTTGGATTGCCTTGAAATTTGGTTTGTGAAATAAGGGTTCAGTATAGCACATTCATTAAAAATATGAAATAGTTTGGATTACCACAGTCCGAGCTCCAGAAGGTGGGATATGGCTAATCTGTCACTCCTGTTAGTAACATAGAGCGTGTCTTTTAGGTTCTTTAGGCCGCACGACACACTACCGTGTATCTTGCTATATATGTGAAATGAATAAGTTGATTGGTTTTAAACAATTTATTTGATAATTCAGCATGTCAGACACTCTAACTATCAATCCATTTCGAATGTAGGCACGGTTCAAACTCACCCAGAAAAGGCTTTCAAAACTGACCACACACCGGAATTTAAAGCTGATCGGTCATTCAGAAAATATCTTAAAAACTGACCATTCCCCAAAAAAACACTTTCAAAACTCACCACTCACCAAGCAAAGACCTTCAAAACTGGTCACATATTTGAAAATATCTTTAAAACTGATCATTTGCTCCTTTTTTACCAAATCATATATATGTCGAAGCTACAAAGACTTAGTTTTTCGTCTGTCTCCTCCGTATCGCACAGACTGGTATGTCATGGTGAATAACTCATTCTGCTGGCTGTACATTAATACTCTAGCTTATACACTACACTGTGGAAACAGTTTGTGTTTGTTTATCTGCTTGTTCATTTATACGTTAAACTAGCTTTTAATCTGTTTCTCTATCTATTTGTATTTTGCATCATTAGTTATCAAAGCATTAGTATCTTAGAAATAAGTATTGTCCAATTAAAACCAACATGCGATAAACATTACAAATGCTTCCAAAGAAAACAGTAAATTCTTGTGGATTGTCTCTAAATATTTTTTTTAACATTCTTAATAATCTGTGTTTTAATTATAGTTCCTCGTATGTCTTACCTTCATTGAGGGGAAATCTGCTTACTTTCATTAGCAAAACTTTGAAATCTGTCTTCGCTTTGAAAATTAATTGAACACAAGTTATATATATTATAATTTAAGCCAGAAAAGCCCTTGTTTGTTCAGGATGCTGATTGGCTGTGATAGAACTAATTATAGCTGCCACTTAGTTCTAGAAGTCGGCTCATGTCATTACATGTCTCTGCTGATTCTCAGGGAGTAAAATCTTATTCATATGTCAGGCGTCGGTTTGGTATTGACTGGCTACCTACTGAACACCACTCCCTGTGACAAATATGCATGTATTCTTATTAAGGAAAATAGCTAATAATTTCTCCTTTGAATAAACTCAGACGTATGTAAACTATGAGTGGTCTACAGAGTTCGTAGTTTTAGTAGACAGGTTTAGCTGCTACAATTACTGTTCATTAGTCATCTATGATATGACATGATAATAAAAGTTATCGGTAGCTAGGCAGATAGTGGTGTAATCACTGAAATCAATCATTAAAGTAATCGTAATGAGGACTTATCTTAATGCGATGATTTGCATAACTGTGTATATAGTTATTTCATGACTTGGTAATAGTAATGTACAGCGTTTAGTGAACTAGTTACCGCGAATAATAAATAACAAGAAAATCTATACTATCAATACCCTTGCCAAATCACAACAATACACTATTCACCAAACGCCAAGACAGAGTCTCCATCCATTGTTCAAATAATACACTATTTACCAAAAACAGGTACAATGGCTTCGTACATTGTCCGAACAATATACTATTTACCAAAAACAAGTACAGTGGCTCCGTACATTGTTCGAATAATACACTATTTACCAAAAACAAGTACAGTGGCTCCGTACATTGTTCGAATAAT